ACACACACACACACACACCATAAACATTCAAACCACCTCCAAACTTGTGTGAAATGTAAAATGATTACTTATCCTGTGTCCCTTACAATACACTCACATTGATAAGATTTGGCACACTGTTACTTTACCTGTAGCTGTTTGTGGCTTGACCAAATCATGTTTGTTATTTAGCCTGAAAATAGCATATATAAATTAATTTATACATAAATTAATGTTATAACTTATTCATAACAACTTGGTTCCTGTGTTTATCAGTTTTCCCAATAGGTTTGCTGCCTTATAAATACAGACAGTGAAGTGCATTAGCACAATAGGGCTGTCTGTGCACTAAATAACATAAGTATTCAAGGCATAAAGTGCCTTGATTGAGCTTTACCTTTGGACATGATAATTAATCTACTAAAATATTACAGTTTTTATTGCAAATTCTGTGTTACAGGGCAAATTTAAATAATGCAAAAAGCTGTTCCTGATATTACAGGATAAATAATTAAATGCTGCAGCACATTCTTCATGCATATGTTTCAGTCAAGTAAACAGCAAACATGATTTCAAAAAATCAGCAGTACAGTGATCCTTTCCATAAAAAAGCAATTAGACTTTATTTTTATGTATTTTCATTAGGTAATACGGTTAAACAAATTTTAGGCAAATGTGATCTTGTAGCAAGTTTGGCAGATAGTATAGTGGCCGCGCTACTTGCTCTAGTTTACAAGCACGTGTTTTGTTCTATGCAAACATCACTCAGCTTCCTCGTTACTCAGTCATAAAAACTGCTCACATTTTTGGGTGGAGATACCAGAACATCAGTCTCAATTAAGCCATGTTTTCTGTAGCTCTGTTGCTGCTGTTGGCAGGTGGATCATGTGAGTCTCCTATATTTGCCATATTCATCAGATTATCTGTAACAACACAATTTAATCACATGTTAAAAATAACCTTTTCCTACTTGCAGGTGTACAGTGTGAGCAGTTGACACAGAAAGCCTCTGAGACTGTACAGCCAGGTCAACGTCTGACCATCACCTGTCAGGTTTCCTATTCTGTGACCGGCCGCTGGACAGCTTGGATCAGACAGCCTACAGGAAAAGGAAGCAGAGTTGGTGCAACTTTGGCTTATAAAGATTCACTAAAAAACAAGTTCAGTATCAGCTTAGACTCTTCCATCAACACCGTGACTCATACTGGACAGAATATGCAGCCAGAAGACACTGTAGTGTATTACTGTGCCAGAGACCCACAATAACACAAAACATCACTAGAGCTGAACAAAAACTGCACTCTGCCTGAACATCAGTAAAAGCACCACAGGAGGCGCTCTAAGACCACTAAT